ACTACTACTACGACTATTACTACTACTACTACTACTACTACTACTACTACTACTACTACTACTACTACTACTACTACTACTACTACTACTATTACTACTCCTGCTGCTGCTGCTGCTACTGCTACTGCTACTACTACTACTACTACTGCTGCTGCTGCTCCTCCTCCTCCGACGACGACGACGATTATTATTATTACTACTACTACTACTACTACTACTACCACTACTAATACTAGTACTAGTATTAGTACTAGTACTAGTACTAGTACTAGTACTAGTACTAGTACTAGTACTAGTACTAGTACTACGACCACTGGGGGCCCAAAAAGGAGAGCCTTCGCCTCTTACCTGGCGTGTGCTACGTTGGCAGACTTGGCTCGAAGCTGTCGCTGGTCAGCTGGCGACGCATCGCCCGTTCCATGTCATTTCCTCCCCCTTCCGAGTCAGTCCTCAGGACGCAACTCCTGGAAGATTAGATTCAGCCTCGCGCTGTTATTCATTCAGTTATTTCATCGCTTCGCTCACTCCGCCGGCCCATTTTTGCGCACCGCTGTGTCGGCTGGCCGAGTGGCCGTTGGCAGTGCGGAGCTGCAGGGTCGGCGTGAGAGTCTGTGAGACGTTGTTTTCGGCATGTTTGGAGTTGAAGCAGCTCCCGTGAAGCAGCCGCACGGCGGTTGTTTGGACATGGTGGAGAAGATGTCGGAGGTTCGTTGGTTGTTTACGTGGTTTCTGGGTGTTTGCCCACCTGCGGGGCTTATGGTTTTTGTGGGGGGTATTGCTTGCGAAAGCTCGCATTGTGGCTGTTCCAGTGAGAGGAGGAGAGATCTGGTGCGATGATGGAACCCTCGTATTGGAAGGTGGCGGGCTTTGAATGGGATCATCGGCTCTCATTCCGATCGCGGGGTGCAGGAACAGCTTTGGTGGTTAGTTCCCCTTCTATCCTCATCCGGATTGTGTTCGTGGTATGTTGTTGTGTGTAGGTGGGAAAGTTATGGATTCAAATGTTTACATGCGTGTGTATATAAATATATATATATATGTGTGGCCGATAACCAACCAATTCCAGTTATCCGTAAGGGCTTCGCCCCCTGCCGCCGGCCCCCTCTCGCATAATGGGCAATGCAAGACCGAAATCATGAGGCATTGGCGCCGCCGTGAAGCTGCATCGGGACTTCACGCGAAGACGATGAGTAATCGGCAAGACAAATTCAGATTTTGATAGTGTTGTTGAATTTGGTGTTGTATTCCAAAGGTTTATGGCTGCGGAAACGCGAAAACCGCGTAAGTTACAAGGCTATCTGTCTTCGGGCTCGCAAATATAGCGTAATTTACACAGGTTTCGGGCTTCGGAGACGCGAATCTTGCGTAATTTACTAAGGTGTATGGCTTCGGGCACGTGATTATTGTGCAACTTACAAGGTTTTATGGCTTCGGGGTCGCAAATATAGCGTCATCTACGCAGGTGTATGGCTTCGGAGACGCGAGCATTGCATACTTTACGAAGGTTTATAGCTTCGGGGACGCGAATATCGTATGATTTGCGAGCGTTTGTGGCCTCGTGGACGCACGCGTTGCGTAATTCAAAAGGGTTTACGGTTTCGGGGACACGGATATAGCGTATGTTGCGAGGGTATATGGTTTCGGGGACGCGAATCTTGCGTAATTTATTAGGGTGTAAGGCTTCGGACACGCGAATACGGTTTATTTCACTTGGGTTTACGGCTTCGGGGGCGCGAATTTCAGAGTTCAGAGCACCCGAGTCGGGCGTGGTAACTCGGTTCCTTCTCGGCTCCCCCCCCTCGCTGGGTCCATCAACAAGGAACAGTAGGCAGCAAGAAGCAGAGCTGTAACAGTGGAAACTGGAAACTGGATCTGGTGCACGGAACAGCAAACCTTGGTCTTACAGCCTGGTGGCCCCACAAGGGGACCAGCTGATATTTCGCCATGTCTCGTTAATCATTCAGATTCGTCGGGCTGATTTTGGGCTCAATATGGGCCAATGTGGCTCAATGGCCCCTTGGTCAGGCTTGATAGCTTGTAACCGCCCTTACGAAACTTTCCCAGGAGTTGTGTCCTTCGGGCGAGGTTAGGACCAGGATACATCGCTTCAGAGCGTTTCGGAACGCCGTCAAAACTGTCTGGACCGCTCTGGAACAGCCGCGGCGCCCGATACAGCATCCAGGATCCCCGATGTTTGTCCCTGTCCCATTTGTCCAGGTACTGGTTTCGTCTTAGTCGCCTCCTGGCAAACCAAGAACAAATAGCATTCGCATAGGTTGTCGGAGGTCCGCGCGAATGTCTTGGATCGGCGTTGGCTCGTGGCGAGCAAAGAGGAGGAGCGGGAGGATCAGGAGGAGGAGGAGGAGGAGCAGGAACGCGAGCAGGACGAGGAGAAGGAGGAGGAGAAGAAAATGAGGTTTCTCGATTGTTTCTTGAAACATTCAGACCAAGGAAGGACGTGGACAAGACGCCTCTTTGGGGAGGTGGTTTGGGGTCTCTTAGGAGGTCATGTGAAGCCATCTTCGCGATGTTTTGGGACCTCCTGAGGCTTTTTGTGGGCTTCTTCTGGGAGGAACGAGGAGGAGGAGGCGGAGAAGGAAAGTAGGATCAGGAGGAGGAGGTGGACCATTGGAAACCCAAGAGTCCTCAACGATGTTGGAATACCCTACATAGGCCCCTACAGCGTCGCATTTCCACTGTGGGAAGTGCCTCGTTGGAAGACAACCGTTGGAAGACCCTGAATCATGCCAAAACATTGTTCCCGGGATTCCAACGCCACGGATCAGCCTGATTGTTGCGTCTTGACGATTTTGAATCGCGTCAGAACACCATTCCTGAGCCTTCGACGGCGAATCAACGTAAATGTAGCGCCCTCGTAATCCAGAATCCTTCCAAAGCGCCATTTCTGGTACGCTGATCGTGGGATTCCGTGATAGTTTTAAACAAAAAACGAATGCGCGCGGCGCTAAGGCGAGAGTCACAGTTTGAAAATGAACCGCCCTCAATCCACGAAGTTCTTCTACATTTTGAATACGAATGTGCGTGGCGCTAAGGCGAAAGCCACATTTTGAAAACGACCAGATCTCAATCCGTGAAGCTCTTGCAACTGTTTACAACGACTGTGCGCGGCGCTAAGGCGAGAGCCACATTTTGAAAACGACCCGCCCTCCATGTGTGAAGCTGTTGTCATTTTAAAGCTTCAGGGTCATAAGTGGTGAGGAAGTCTTAGGCGAAACACCCGGCCCGCCCTAAAACTTGCCTCCGGGTGCGACAGGGAAAAGTCATTTATGACGAAAAGGCATGGAGGATAATTCCCGTGGAGTAGGAGGAGAAAGTGTGAGGACGAGAAGGAGGAGGAAGTTGGAGGAGAGGTGGAGGAGCAGAAAGAGGTTCGAGCGAGGAGGAGGAGGCGTAACAGGTCGGAGGTGGAGGAAGTCGATCAGGAGTAGGGTGGAGGATGATGACAAGGGAGAAAGAGGTGGAACATGAAATAATCATGGTACTGACGCTGATGCTGATGATGTTGCTGCTGATGGCACTGATGATGACACGTGGGTATGATAATGTTGCTGATGATGCTGATTATGTTGATGATGATGAGGATAATGACCATGATGATGACGATGACGGTAAGGGTGGGGATGGTGATGCTGTTTTGATGAGTATGCAGACCATGATATTGTTGCTGATAATGATGATGCTGATCATGAGCGTCATGATGTGGTTGATGATTCTGCTGATGTTGATGCTGACGCAGATGATAATGCTGTTTAGGCTGATGGCAATGATGCTTATGCTGCTGATGCTGTTGTTTTTGCCCATGATCATGCAGCTGACGAATCTGAAGAGTATGCTGGTGATGATGAGGATGTTGGTGAAGATAATGATGCTGCTGATGATGATGCTGATGACGATGCCGACGATACCGACGACGATGTTGCAAATCATGATGCTGATGCTCATGATGATGCTGCTAATTATGATGTCGCTGATGATGATGATGATGATGATGATGATGATGATGATGATGATGATGGTGATGCGGATGATGATGAATGATGCTGATGATGCTGCTGATGATGATGACGATGATGATGCTGATGCTAATGTTGATGATGCTGATGGCGACGATGATGAGGACGATGCTGACGCTGATGACGGTGACGATGATGCTGTTCCTGATGCTCATGATGTTGTTGATGCAGTTGATGGTGCCAGTAGGGATGATGATGCTGCTGATGCTGATTATGCTGATGATGCTGCTGATGATGACGATGCTAATGTTGATGCTGATGCTGATCCTGATGATGCTGGTGCTAAGGATGTTCGTGTTGATGCTGTTGATGCCGATGCTGATGCGGACGATGATGCTCATGATGATGCTGGCCATGATAACTATGCTGCTGATGTTGATGCAGTTGCTGATGGCAATGCTGCTGATGAGGATGATAATGCTGATGACGAGGGTGCTGCTGCTGATGCGGGTGCTGATGCTGATGCGGATTCTGCTGCTCCTGCAGCTGCCGCTGAAAATTGTGATGCTGATTGTGGTTGTGATGCTGCTCATGCTGATGATGACGACGACGACGACCATGATGCTATTGACGCTGATGATGAATAATGTGATGATGTTAATGATCATGCTGATGATGCTGCTGCTGATGTTGATGATGGTGTTACGGATGATGACACATGAGTATGATAATGATCCTGCTTCTGATGATGATGACGCTGATCATGATGATTATGACGAGGAGGGGGAGGAGGAGGAGGAGGTGGAGGATGAGGAGGAGAAGCATGAGAAAGAGAGGAACTGAGGATGATGAGGAAGGTGTGAGGTCGGATGTGAAGCTCAGGAGGAGCTCAGGATGATGAGGAGGAGGAGGAGGAGGGGGACGAGGAGAAGATGGAGAAGGTCTGAGCAGGAGGAGGAGGGGGGGAGGGAAGGAGGGAAGGGTAACGAGAGGGCTGGTCGGGGATTGGCGTGGGAGGGCCGACGATGCAGTCACACGTGGTGCGCTGAGTGTGTCCTCGGAGGAGGAGGAGGAAGAGGAGGAGGCGGAGGAGGTGGAGGAGGAGGAGGAGGAGGAGAGGAGGAGGAGGAGGCGGAGGCGGAGGCGGAGGAGGAGGAGGAGGAGGAGGAGGAGGAGGACGACGACGACGACGAGGAGGAGGCGGAGGCGGAGGCGGAGGAGGAGGAGGAGGAGGCGGAGGCGGAGGAGGAGGACGACCTCCTCGCCTGGCCTGGCCTCAGGTCCGCGCGGGCGGCGGCGTGGAGGCGCTGCGCGGCAAGCAGCGGCCCATGCAGTTCGCCACGGAGGACCGAGGAGGGAGGAGGAGGAGGACCGGGGAGGAGGAGGAGGAGAAGCGAGGATGATGATGATGATGATGATGATGATGATGATGATGATGATGATGATGATGATGATGATGATGATGATGCTGATGATGATGATGATGATGATGATGGTGATGATGATGATGATGAAGATGATGATGATGATGATGATGATGATGATGATGATGCTGATGCTGATGATGATGATGATGATGATGTGATGATGATGAAAATGATGATGATGATGCTGATGGAAGATGATGATGATGATGATGATGATGATGATGATGATGGTGATGATGATGCTGAATGATGATGATGATGATGATGATGATTTGTGATGCTGATGCTGATGCTGATGATGATGATGATGATGATGATGATGATGATGGATGATGATGATGATGATGAGGAGGAGGAGAGGAGGAGGAGGAGGAGGAGGAGGCGGAGGAGGAGGAGGAGGATATGATGATTGATGATGATGATGCTGCTGATGATGATGAGATGATGATGATGATTGAGGATGATGTGGTGGTGGGTGGTGGTGGTGATGATGATGAATGATGATGAATGATTAGGATGAGGAGGGGAGGAGGAGGAGGATGAGGAGAGGAAGGAGGAGGAGGATGATGAGGATGATGATGATGATGATGATGATGATGCTGATGAGGATGATGAGGAGGGAGAGGAGGAGGAGGGCAGGGGGGAGGAGGAGGGGGAGGAGGAGGAGGAGGAGGAGGAGGAGGAGGAGGAGGAGGAGGAGGAGGAGGAGGAGGAGGAGGAGTGAGGAGGAGGAGGAGGAGGAGGAGGAGAGGAGGAGGAGGAGGAGGAGGAGGAGGAGGGGGAGGAGGAGGAGGATGATGGGGGAGCAGGAGGAGGAGGATGAGGAGGAGGAGAGGAGGGGGAGGAGGAGGAGGAGGAGGAGGCAGGGACGAAGGAGGAGGAGGAGGAGGAGTTGGAGAAGAATATTGCCTGGAGATTGCCCGCCTGATCAACTCTGCAACAAGCAGGCGTGCAAAGTTGACAAAACGGGCTCACCCGGGCCTATCATGGGCGACATGGGGTTGCCTCACGAGGGCTCTCCTGGAGGTTGGTGCCGACCTGAGCTCTCCGTTCTACGGCCTACCTTGCAGGCCTTGCACAGCATTTTGGCTGACGATGCGTTGCCCCTGCCTTTCGCTCGAGCTGATCCTTGTCAGCAGCTGGGTATGAGCTTTCCGCCCTCCCCGCGCGGCCTGATCTCATCACTGTAGATGATGACCTCGGGCTCTAGCTTCGCGTTCCACGTCTCGCTGGGTGGCGGTAGGTGCTGCTGCCACGGTTCGCCCTTCTCGCACGTGCTGTTGCCATTGGGCATCAGTTTCAATTCCAGCTTCTCGCCTGCCCTGACTCCCGCTCTGTAGCTGACGCTCTCGGGCTCTGTATTCACCTTCCACTTGCCCTCTTCTCGCAATGCCAACGCCTGCTGCCACTGTCTGCCCCCCTCTCGCGTGGACGAAGCCTGCTGCCACAGCCTGCGGTCTCGCACGAACTGCTCCTGGGTTTGGCGCCTCCCGCACGAATCGTCCCCAGTACTGTACCTGATGACGTTGGGCTTGCGCGGGCTCGCCCTCGTGGCACGGTCGGGCCATTGCCTGCCGTCTCGCAATGGCAACCACTGATGTCAGATTGCCCGCGCCGACAGTCCACGTGTCACTGCATCTCGCACGAGCTGGCCCCAGTCGCTGGTGATACGTGGCTCATTCGTGCTGCCACTGCCTGGCTTCTAGTACTGACAGCCACCGCTGCCACTCTCTGCCTTCTCGCACCAGCAGCCCAGGCTGTCACTGTCTGCTCGCGTTGCTGCCACTGCCTGCCTTCTCGCCTGGCTGCCAGTGCCTGCTTTCTCGCGCGAGTCGCTCCCAGCACTGTGGCCGACCGTGGCTGGCTCCTGCTCCTCGTTCTGGCGGCGGCGGAGGTGAATAGTCCACCTGGCGCCACTGCCAGCCATCGCGCATTTACAGTCCGCGCTTCCACTGCCTGCCTTTTCGCACGAGCTGCCCACAGCCTCAATATAGCCGATGTCGTTTGGCCCTTGCTTCCTCAGCCGGCCTCGACAACCGCTGCACGAGCTAGTCCCAGCGCTGCAGCTGATGAATACACATTCCTGCACTGCTGCAGCGGCTCCGCATGGGCGGTCGCCGCTCGCCAGGGAGCGGAGGGGTGGTGGAGGAAGAGAAGGGGGAGGAGAGCGGGAAGGGGACGGGTGAGGACACACTTCCTGGCTGTCTCGCGCGCGCCTGATCTCAGCGTTGTAGCTGAGGATAGTGAGCGCCGCGTCTCTTGAGGGCGCTCGAGCGCGAAGCCATTCTTCCCATCCTCCTCCCTCCTCCCCTCCTTCCCCCCCCCTCTCCCCCCTTCCCTCCCACCCGCTCCTCCTCCGCGGAAGCAGCCGCGCGGCCGAGCGCTCGTTTCGTTTCCCTGCTGTGCCGTTGCTCGCGCGCCGCCAGGGCCGGGGGTTTCGACTCTATGCGCTCGGGCTTCGCTCGTTCGGGCTTCTCGATTCGATTCGTTTAGGGGGCCACATGCGAACCCTACCCCTGCCCCCCACGATCTCTGAGGGGGAGGTGGGGTAGGGTTCGCATGTGGCCCCCTTTCGTGCCGACAGGTATTTTTTCCGATTCGATGCGTGCGTTCGAGTCGTTCGGGCCTCTCGAGTCTCGGGGCGGCGGAGGTCTCCGCGCCGCGCCTCCCGGAGGGGAGGGGGAGGAGGGAGGGCAGGCGCAGGTGTATTGCTGCCGCCCTCGGAGCTGGTGCCGACGCCATCCGCCCGGCGAAAGCGAGTACCAGGGGCAATGCCAGGGGGACACGCTCGGGGGGGTACGCTTAGGTCGGGCCTGTCCCCCTGCAGGGGGATTTTGGACGAAAAATCACAAATACCCCCAAAGCACCCTTAACATGCTAAAAGATAGTCAAACCATAGTCCCCAGACTATTCTTGTTACTATTTCTGATTCCTCCTGTAGAAGGACAGGCCCGACTTAAGGGCACGCATCATCTCCCAATCGCCAATTCATCGCCGATGTGGGTCTGATAATCCATCCCGCCCAGGACTGTGCGGACTTGCTGTCGGGGGCCAGCCAGTCGACGACCTATCGGCGACGTATCGCCGACTCGAGCTCGATGCCACCCCCCTGAGCTGGCCCCCCCCTGACGTTGCCCCTCAGAGTCCGCAACGCAAATTACTTCCGTATCTATTGCCCGTGCGCGTCGTTCCGTGGCCCTCGTCCTCACACTGTCCTTTCCAGCTCGTGATGTCTCCTCGTCTTCCGCGTCCTCCACGTCTTCCGCCTGACCCCTCCTCTGCTCGGCAGCCGTGTGGAACCCATTTTCCTGTCGCGACAACGGCCGTCACCGCGTCACGATTCGTGCCAGCGCCGTCCGCCGGCGCGAATCATGACGTTACGAGGGGACAATGGAAGGGGCAGTCCCTAGCAACGAGCGTTATCGCGAATAGTTTTGAAACAGAAAACGAGGTCGTTCGCAGCAAAGCGGCCGACGAAACCCAGCCCACGAGCGCGCCTGGAGGAACAAACACTGCTAGGGAAGCGCCCCCGTTGGGACACGGTTTCGCTGGCTGCATTGATGCGCGTTGAGATCTTCTGGCCCCGCGTTGTTCTCGTGAGGCTGTCAGGGTATGCAGAAAAGGTGACAAAGGGCACGCATCTGTTGTCCGAGGCTGCGTCCTCCTTTTTTCCTTCGTTGCACCCGCCTCCCACCTCCGTTCCTCATCCTCCCTTGCCTCCCTCGTATCGCTCTCCTGCCTGTCAGCTGTGATGCGTCGAGCCGGCAGGACACGATTATCAGCTTCCTCTTCTACGTGCCCGTGGCAGTGGAGCAGCTTCCTGTCTGCTGCCTCCTCCCAATAATGCTTTCTCGCCCCCCCCGAGGGAGACGAGGAGGAGGAGGAGGAGGAGGAGGAGGAGGAGGAGGAGAAGGAGGAGGAGGAGGAGGCGGAGGAGCATGAGGAGGAGGAGGAGGAGGAGGAGGAGGAGGAGGAGGAGGAGGAGGAGGAAATGGAGAAGTAGAAGGCGGAGAAGCAGGTGGAGGAGGGGTAGGAGCGGGAGACAACGAGTGATACGAGGCGAAGGAGCAGGACGACGAGCAGCAGCAGCAGCAGCAGCAGCAGCAGGAGAGATGCAGCGTGCGCACGAGCAGGCCGAGGAATAGGCGAGGAGCTCGAGGTGCGCGCGCAGGTCTGGCACTCCGGGGCTGTGCTCGTGCCCTGCCCATCCGGCAGGCGTGCGTGCCAGCGTGCCGCACTGGCCTCGAAGTCACTGCGGTGCGCCGTGGTGCCGTGGGCTTCGCTGCAGCTGGGGGGTGGACAGAGCCCCCACCCTGACATGTCGATCCGTGGATTGTCCGTTCTCGGTTCTCGAGAGGGCGCCGCGGCCGTCACTTTCCAGGCCTGCGCCCGCCGCTCTTGGGGCCCGAGGTCGTTTGTCACGAGGCCACGCTTTTTGCGACACGGCGCGCTGGCCGTCCCCGAGCAGGCAAGACGCCGCGAGGAAGAGCACCTCGGGCTCGGGCTGGACCCGTGGTCTTCGGGGCCGTGGCTCAGGTCCAGGTCCGGGGGGCCGAGTCGTGGCCCAGGCCCGCCGTGGCCAGAAAAGCCGCTCCGTTCTTTAAGCAGCCATTGTTCCGAGGCGGGGATTGATTCATGACCACCGCCTGGAGGGTCAGTTTTCGGGCGTCGGCAGGCGGTGGATATGGACATATTCGGGCCCCCGGGGGCCGAAATATATCCATATCCACCGCCCGCTGGGGCACCAGGACGTCGGTTCCCAGGCGGTGGATATGGATAAATCCGTGCCTCGCATTCATCGTGGCAGTCCGATGAGTGTACGTCCTGCTTTCTTGGCTGCTACCTCTCGCATTCTGATTCGTTGCAGCGGGCGCTGGGATTACGACCTGCTCGGGTCGAGCCAGTTTTACGACCTGTTCAGGTCGAAGCAGTCTTGACGACCTGCTCGGGTCGGACGAGACCCGTTGAACGACCTGCTCAGGTCGAAGCAGTTTCACGACCTGCCAGGGTCAGCTGCTGAGGTCAGGCGCGACCAGTTTGTCTGACGACCTGCGCAGGTCGGGCGAGAGCAGTTTTTGGGCCTGTTCACCAGTTAGCTACACGCGGCGGCCCGCCACACTCGCCGCCACTCAAGAGGACATGTGCCCATGTGTGCACAGCTGGCGCGTAGCTCCGGAGCGCTCTTGAAAGGGGCTTCGGTTTGGGGTCTCTTCACGGGGCCTGCGGCGAGGAATAGCAGATGACATAGGTGTGAACCTTTGGGGTCAGCTCTGATTCCTTGGATCGGCGCTGGATTCCCCTCCCTGGCGGGTGTGGCGCGCCAGGGGCGGCGCCGGAAGCGCCGCCAGGGGGCCTCCAACCAGCGCCGGCCCAAAAGCTCCACGCGGGCCCCCGGATGTTTACGCTTATGCCGTTGTTTGTTCCTCGATTGAGGCTCCGAGGAAGCGGCTCATGGTCTTGACGACGACGACGAAGACGACGACGACGACGACGACGACGACGACGACGACGACGACGACGACGACGACGACGACGACGACGACGACGACGACGACGACCCCGACGGCGACGGCGACGACGACGACGACGACGACGACGACGACGGCGGCGGCGGCGGCGGCGGCGGCAGCCACGTTTTTCTGGCCAGGCGTCCTCTTGGCCAAGCTGCCCCCGAGCCGCGAGTCCACGGCCTCGGCCAGGGCGCGGCCGCCGCGCGTGCGGCGCTGCAGCTCGACGAGTCCGCGCGGCGCGCGCCTCGTTTGGACAGGCTGCGGTGGCAACGCTGCGGTGGCGCACAGCTGCGCGCCTCTCCTCCCCCCTGCCGATGGTCTTGGACGCCCGACATGGGCACGGAAACAATGGGCACAATGCCCGACAGCAAAACTGTTGTCCCGAAGCAACCGCGGCCGCGGTTTGGCAGGCGGCCTTCTGTCTCGAAGGGACACGATCAGCGGCGACGCCGACAGCGAGTCCTGGTCAAAATGAACAAGAACTGCTGTCGGCCTTTGTACTCCAGATTTCGTAATAAAGGGAGGGGGGGTCTCACTTCGGGGGGGGGGGGGTCTCTTCCAGGCTATCTTGGAGGGCCTGGGGGAGTCTGGGGACGACGTTTTGGAGGGTTCTCCCACGGGGGGGGGGGGTCTGAAATGGCCTGTCTTGGAGGGCCCAGACCCCCTCCCTTCTACTACGACATCTGGAGCACCCATTCTTTCCGTGCCCACGTCGGTCGCCCCAAGATGGCAGTCGGGGCGCAGCGCGCTCCAGAAGGGGCCTCACGCTCGAGGCCCGGCAGGGATTGGCGCCTCTTCCTCGGCGGCCGGCCGGCGGCCGGCCGGCGGACACAGGACGGGGGCGGCGGGCCCCGCTGTCAGGAGGGGAAGAGCACACACAGGCACAATTGATCCTCGATTCCCCAGGAAAGATGGGAAAGTATGGGCAGTGGGGGGGAAGACAGAGACCCAGAAAATATGGGAAGGTATGGGGGGATCGTTTATTGGTGTGTCCCAGGGCCCCTTCACGGAGACAAGACGGGGGCGGCGGCCCCGGCTGGCGCAGCGGCGGGGAGGAAGCCGGTGGGAGGACCGAGGACGACCCTCGGGGCTCAAGAGACGGGGATCCATTAAACAGGGCCAGGATCGGGATGAATCGCTCCAGAGCGTTCCGGAGCGCTCTCAGAGCGTTCCGGAACGCGCTGGAGCGGCCGCGGCGCCCAGTACATCCTCCAAACCCGCCGATTTTCAGAGATTTCGAGTTATCCCGATCCGATTTTGTCCCGATCTTCGCGTCGTTTTAGTCAATGCAAACGGGGGTCAGCCGGGGCACCGGATCCTGCAGGATCCTGCGAAGACCCCCTCTGGCTGACCCGGGTTTACGAGCCGCCTCGTGTCCGCGAGGCGGCCGCGCATACTGGCTGACCCAGGTTTGCGAAGACCTGCGTTGCAGTTTTTAGTCTCCTGCTGACCCGGGGTCTGGATTGACCCGGGTCAGAAGATCGCCGAGACCAAGAGATGTTCTCTTGGGGGATTCAGGGTTCCCAGAGCGGGCCACGTGCGTCAGCCCACTCGTGTGCAGGGGGTGGACAGACCTCCGACCCTGACACGTCGATCAGTGAATTCGAGTTGTCCGTTTTCGGTTCTCTGCCCCAAGAGATGTTGAGATGTTTTCTCGGGGGATTCGGGGTTCCCGGAGCGGGCCGCGTGTGTGCTGGCCCACTTTGTGTATCGGGGGTGGGCAGACCTCCGACCCTGACACGTCGAGTAGCGAGTTGGCCGCTTTCGGTTCGCGGGAGGGCGTTGCGGCCGTCATTTTTGCGGGTCCAGGTCCGTCGGCTTCGGTTCCAGGCCGTTTTCCCTAAAGGGAGGTTGACTCAGGGAAGGTTTGCCCACCGCCGAGTGTATTTGATCCTCGCGAGTTCCGCGCGCCAGGGAGGGGTCAGCGCGGATCCAAGGAGCTCTGCGCGGACCTCCCAGCGCCAGACCTCCTGTTCATGCTGCGGTTCCTCTGCTGCGAAAGCCTTGCGGGTGGTGCCGCCGACCCTGTGCGCAGCGGGTAGCAATGTGAATATACAGGGGGATGCTGACGAGGAGGAGGCGGAGGAGGAAGAAGAAGAGGAGGGGGAGGCGGGAGACGAGGAGGAGGAGGAGGAGGAGGAGGAGGAGGAGGAGAATGAGGAGGAGGAGGAGGAGGAGGAGGAGGAGGAGGAGGAGGAGGAGGTTCCTCAGTCTCCCCTCTCGGTGATCCTCAGGACGCGTGCCAGCCCACCGTGTGCCCACCCGCGCGCGGGCCCCGCGCCCGCGCCTGCGAGGAGCCGCGGCCGCTGCTCCTGTACTTCCACGGGGACCCGCTCCGCGAGGGGAGGGGGGCGCTTCGGCCCGCTCGGGGCGCGGCTGCTCGGCGCCCGCCGCCGTCGCCAGGGCCACGGGGCAGTAGGCCCCACCCCGCCCAGGAGCGTGGGGATCTGCTATCGGGGGCCTGTCGCAGAGATCTACCGGCGACGCATCGCCGATCCCAGCTCGATGCTTCCCCCCCTGTGCCACTTCGCCCTCTTCGTTGCCCCGCTCACAGAGCCAGGTCGGGCGAGAGGGGAGACGGGGAAAGGGGAGAGGCATGACAGCTGCGGTATATGCAGCTGGTGCCGGCCCCGCCGCGGGGCACGTTTATGCCGATACACTGCCAGGAGGCGCCAGGAGAACTGGCCACGTGAGCTGTCGGGAACCCTGGGACAGGGGCCATTTCAAACGGGGGTCGGCCGTAGCGCCCGATCTTGCAGGGTCCTGCAGGGCCAGGGGCGCGTTGACCCAGGCTTGGGTGTGCAGGGTCCTGCAGGGTCCCTCGCGTCGACCCGGGCTCGGGTGCAGGATCTCGCAGGCTGCTGCAAGGCCTGGCTGACCCGGGTTTGCATCGACCCGGGTCAGAATGATCCCCGAAGGGGCGGGGGAGTGCGCGGCTGTCTTCGGCGGTTGTCGGTGGTGCTCTGGCCTCGGGGGTTCGAGGTTCGGGGCAAGGTTCGCAGACGTGTTCAGCGGTGCCTCGACAGTTGTCCGGCCTCGGGGCGCCTTCTAGCAGCTGCGCCCCGCCGCAGGCGTTCCGCCAGAGAGCGAGCTCCGACCCGAAAGCCAGGGTCAGGGGCAAGGGCATGTTGGGATGAACATTCCCTCCTGCTCCTGCTCCTGCTCCTGCTCCTGCTCCTGCTCCTGCTCCTGCTCCTGCTCCTGCTCCTCCTCCTCCTCCTCCTCCTCCTCCTCCTCCTCCTCCTCCTCCCCATGATCCTTGAACTCACCAGGGCTTCAGTGCAGGAGGATTCAGCAGACGCAGACGGGGTCCATTTGTGGCTTCGTCCATTCGGGGCATCGTTGCTGATCGGCAGGCTGCAGCCGGGGGGGCATCGCGGCATCGCACGCGTGCCCGCTGCCCCCGTGGGGGGTTCGGCCACCGCTTCGCGGTTGCACTGCCCGGACCTCCGCTCCTGGTGCCTTGCGCCGTGCGGTGCCGTGTCGGTGCCGTGTCACCGCCAGGACTCCGGGGCTCGACAGCTAGCACTGGGCTCGCAGGCTCGTCCCGTAGTGTTGGTGGCCGCTGGCGGCTGCCTGTCGCGCCCCTGTCCGTCCCGCCCTGTGCGGGGTCGTCTCCTCCGAGTGGCGCGGGCGCTGGGGCCCCGACGACTGGTTCGGCCACGCGCCACAGCGCCAGCAGCGCTCCGAGTCATTCGCCCTCAGCAGGCGCGGTCACTCGGAGGCTGCGCAGAATCCTCCTCCTCCTCCTCCTCCTGATTCCTCCTCCTCCTCGTCCTCCTGATTCTTTCTCCTCTTCCTCCTCGTCGACCTCCACCTCATGAGTCCTCCTCCCCTCCCTCCTCATGATTCCTCCTCCTCCTCCTCCTCCTCCTCCTCCTCCTCTTCCTCCTCCTCCTCCTCCTCGTGAGTCTTCGCCCTCCTCCGGAGTCTTCCGCCCTCCCCCCCCCTCCCTCCTCCCCGCGCGCGCTGGTTCCTGGCCCCGCGCTGCTCGCCTGCGCGTCGCTCGTCCCCGCGCGGGCCCAGCCCGAGGCGGGCTGCGAGGCGCGAGGGCGGCGAGGGGAGCTGCGCCGCGCGCGCCGCCGAGCGCGGGGGGGGCTTCTGGCCTTCCTCGTCCTCCTCCTCCTCCTCCTTCTCCACAATTGCTCAATCTGAATACTACTCTTCCTCTTCCCCTGATGACGGTTTGAAAGTAGTAGCCCCCCCCGCGTATTGTTTTTTACACAGGATTCCCCGGAGTTGGGTTTTCGCTTGCATATTTTTTCAAAATGCTGCTCTCGCTG